AATAATTTTAATGTGTACCTTACGAGCTATCAATATGTTCGTCTCCGCCATAATGTCAAAACATTCGCTGGCAATCCTCGAATCTTGAAATACCCTCGAGCAAAACCAGAATCATTTATAGGGTGATGAGAGACATGCGGCGTGAATGACGACTACACTTCGTTTGCAATTTAGTGACTGGTGTACAAACACGATGGCACATTAGCCTGTAATGTTCAGAAAGTTTCAGTTAAAAAGTTCTCACTTTTGTGCAAGACGTGTGACCTGTCAATCTTAAAATCGACGGGAAAGGGTGATTCAAAAGTGTAGATTAAAAATGTCGAAATAGGAGCACCATTGTTCTCGTCACAGATGCTCCAACATTTTAAAGAACATTTTTGGACAAAACGACTTTGCACCAGCTGAGGTTAACGTTTGTATGTAGGTATAACATACTCAATCTCACATTAAAAGTAAGAGGCTTGTGGTTTTTTTTTACAGAAATCACCATGCACTCACAGTGCACGGGAAAAGAATATTAGTGTATGATCGTTAACAATAGTGTGACTCAGTATCTACCACATTCTACATTACACTGCCAACCCCCGCGACGTTGAAAATACAATCAGTCCATTAATCTTAGACAAGGTGAGCTCCCCGCCCGCAGAAGCGGCGCGTCTGATCTCAGTAGGGGTGAAGTGCAGAGTGGGGCGTTCTAAAGTGTGATTGGAATTTAAACCGATTCCATTGGACAAATTGACAAGAAAAGCATGGGTAAACAGCTACCGGGTGATATATGGTGCAAGTGGGCGTTTGTCATTGATACCATATAGATAGCCTGAAGGCGCATCGTGGCCAGAGCGCTGTGTTGTCAATGTTGAAGTGAAAATCATTATTGTATTGTAGCTAATTTCGTAGAGGAAATGTTTATTTTATCATGAAGTTTTAAATATATAGATGATCATTGTTAAAACAGTTTTAAGGGGAAAATGGTTTGGCCAGGCCAAACTTTGTTGTTGAGGGTGGGGTGTTTTTTGTATTGATTTTGACAGGGAAAAATGAGGTCGAGAAAAATACGAAAATACATTGCATCGTACATCGTAATCTTTTTAATCATATTTAAGTTTGATGAGGATCGGTAGGTCATACTTTGTATTAAATCTTGGCTTGGTTTGGGTCATACAAACTATAAATCTAAATCTGACAGCGGCATTTCAATGTTATGAATTGGTTGGTGTGACAGTTAAGCATTCACTTATTATTATATTCTGCTCTTGGGGCAAACCCTTCAGCATCAATGTGGATATGTGATGCAGTGAGACCGACGTGGCACGCCCTGGTATCTGGTAGAAAAAAAGATAATCTACACAATAATCACAGACAACACAAATTTAGTCACTTAAATATTCGTTTGAATGTTTTTGTTGTCAAAACGATCTTGACCGTCGGCGGCATAAAGAACCTTGTCATCCTGATTTTATTTGTATTCTGAATTTTCGGTTTTTAAGGTCTGCGGATATGTAAACCAAGCCAAAAAAATTAGGTGTGTATTGTTTTACGCCACTTTAGCAATAGTCCAGCAATATCAAGGCGAACAGAATTTAAGGCCCCATGTAAACCGTATCCAAATTTCATCGGCTTTTATCGACATGTACGTATTCATTCGTAGTGAATTCATAACATGTAGTGAAGTGATTATTCGGATATATACACCAATAGAGAGATACAACAGACTCGAGCCCGTGAAGATCCGGGGTAGAATAGGTCTTCACCAACCCATGCTTGCCATAAAAGGCGACTATGCTTGTCGTAAGAGGCGACTAACGGGATCGGGTGGTCAGGCTCGCTGACTTGGTTGATGCATGTCATCGATCTCAATTGTGTGGATCGATGCTCATGTTGTCAATCACTGGATTGTCTGGTCCAGACTCTATGATTTACAGACCGCCGTCATATAGCTGGAATATTGCTGAGAGCGGCGTTAACAACAAACAAACAAATACAACAGAATGGCTGATACGTTAAGTAGCTATTTGCAATGAATTCATTATTTAAGTTCCTTTGCATATATCACTTGCAATCATCCTTGAGATGTTGGGCCTTGTGGTTAAGGAGTGTTAACATTCACACTTCACACCTTGGATGGATGGCGGATTTGCATCAGTGACCAACATGACGTCCGATGCAATTCCCTATTTTGACCATATGTTCCCATGTATTTAAGTAGTTATACTTACTAGGTACGATATGTTTGTCACAACCGCAAACACAGTTTAAAAGGTAATTAGCCTTTTATTTAACCTTGCGTGATTGGAATTATATTTCATATGCACCCACGTAATATAAAACGTCGACGCCAGACAATAACCAGTCTCGGTTATCAACCGAAAGATTTCATTGGGCGTAAAAGGCAAAATAGCGATGAAAAGCGAGTACTAAACTAAGCGACACATACTGTTTGTAGATCAGCTTAACTCGACAAGTAACACTCTATGTAAGCACGACAAGTATAGATGTAAATTTGACATTAATGGAATAATGGACTTGGGGACAACTAAGAATCGGAGAAAACCCACGCATCCTATAAGAAAAGCAGCCACGTCTACAGACCCCAAAACTCTGAGTATTTACTTAATCAAATGGATGAATGAACGAATAGACAGGACAAGTCTGTCTACATCAGATGGTGCGTTGCTCTCTCAAACCTCAAAGCGGCGGCTTGGTACATGAATATACTCTCAAGACGCCAAGAGGGCGTGTCTGTTCTGATGGGCGGGAACGGCGACAACCGGGAAGTTGGGAGTTCACGCAGATGTTTGATCAATCAGGTGACCGCCTTCGCCCATCTGACACCAACTAAGGCCAAGACAGACGAGCTCCAAACACTGACAAACAGCAATATTGAGATTTACGATCCCGACTATATCATAGGCATCTGTTTATGAACCGTTGTCACAGAGTGACGATACCAGTTGTTCGCGAAAAGGCACCCGTCACAGACACATGCAGAGGCAAGTCAATTATTCACATGAAAAACAAAACCACCGGAACAAATGGGACAAGTCAAAATAGGGAATTGCATCGGACATCATGATTATCACTGCGTCAAAGCTGGAAATGATCTCCACATTTTGAAAGCTTCACTAAGACCTAGTCAGTCGACTCCTTATCAAACAACTTTTGAGCAAGAGTCGCATGATGCTCTTTGTAATCTTCGAAGAAAGAGCCTGCTCGACTGTTGTCATAAAAGTTGTGAAATGTAGATACCAAAGGCTGGAATATTGCTTTGAAGGGAAAGTTGACAATTGCAATGTTGAAGTCATCCCTTTTGACTTACAATGTTGTCATACAACACGGGTTTAAATCCCCTTGCGGGTGAAATGCGTGAAGACCCCTCTTGGTGTCCCCATCATAATGAACGCAATATTTCTAAAATCAGAGCATTACCTTTCTCAAAAAGGCGAATATGCTTGTCGCAAGAGCGACTAACGGGATCGGTTGGTCAGGCTCGCTGACTTGGTTGAGGCATGTCATCGTATCCCAATTGCGTGTCAATGTTGTCAATCACTGGTTTGTCTGGTCCAAACTTGATTATTTACAGACCGCCGTCATATAGCTTGGATATTGCTGAGTGCGGCGTTAAACAACAAACAAACAACAATCTTGGTACTCACCGCAAATATCTTTTCGACCACAAAACCCATGTAAGAACACATCTTTGGCACAAAGAATCACAGAACCATAATTCTTATACATATACTTTATTGTTTAAAAATAAAGTACTAAACATTTTCATATACATAATCATTTCACAACACTGTTTACACGAGGGCATATCATTATTAATGACATACTATATATGAACCTATGACTATATAGGTGTCATTGCTATTATGATATGATGATATGGTTCAGCATACGCTATATGAGATCAATAGATGAGACGTCGCGAGGCCTTGCCATCGCTATGTGACCGGCTTTAATATCAGAGACATACAATCTTCTTACAGTAACACAGATTTGTGATTCCATGAAAACATTGACTATATTTCATATGAAACTCATTTAAGGAATTTTAAAAACGGTTAATGTAATTTTAAAACAAATATTCATACGAAACTCATTTAAGAAAAAAGCTGATCTAACTTTAAAAAAATGTACATCTATTCCCTATTAGTAAATAAAAGACAATATCACATTTAAAAAAATCTTAACTTACTTTGGAATTACATTTTGAAAGAAATATATTTATATACATTAATATTTTATATAAAATCAAGAGGAAGCATTTTCTCAAAATATGCAGAGAAAGATAATTTAAAATGAAATTATTAAAATTATACATAGCATGTCCAATTTCATATACCGTATTCGACGTAATAAGCGCCCAGGGCGCTCTCAAAATAAGAATATTATTTTGATGGAAAAAACAGAGTTGAAAGATAAATTTCGACATATATAAATACGACAGATATATTTTTCCAGAATTGTATTGACCATAATTAAGGGTGCATATAACACACGCGTGCGTATTATACACGAATATATAAGTCTTGTGTACATTGATCAATCGGAAGAGGTGCTAATTGGGATTGTTCACTTTTATATATTATTATATATATTATCAAATATCGCCGTGGGCGCTTATTTGAGCGGGGCGCTTATTACGTCGAATACGGTAATCTTCTTAACTTGATTTTCTTTATTACATTCGATTCAAAATATCTTCAGAGTAATGCCCGGGAGAAAAATGAATGCATCTTTACGTTGTCATGGTGATTTCGGTCTATGCCTCACAGGTTTCAATACAGACTACACTGGAGAAATATAAATACCTATAGCTCTAACAATACCCTGCTGCTTCGAGCGATATTTTTGTCATGATATGCATACATATATGAAATAAACACCGCGCAAAAATGTACCTTTCCATGGAGAAACCATGGTCAGAAAAGAAGAAGTGAAACGTCAAAGTTACCATTCTTTCTATAAAGGGTAATTACGTTTTTGCGTAGCGAGAAATGATGGCACTTTTAGTGATAGCAAATATATCAATGTGATAATGTACATATTTTTTCTACATCTCTATTTACAATAAGTTATGTACAACTATGATAATGCATGTTCAATCGGTGGTGTGATGTATATTTTAAATATATAAAATTCTCAAAAATGGAAGGTTAACAGATGTCACATAACATAATAATAATAAAATAAGTCTAAAAAGATATCAGAATCCAGACCATTGCCGTAAGTCCGTCAGCAGTTAATGCAGATCACAACCTCTTTCAAGAATATAATAGCACATTGTGAATTTGGGTAGTAAATATTTGGATCTTGTCCTCCTTGCTAAGGAAACGTACCTTTCACAATACAATGACAACATCGAGAAAATCTATATAGATACACATTTCAATATGGCCGGAGATAGAAATGAAATGGAGGCGCTTGTGATGATATGCTATATATACTTATATATGTCATTCTCTGACTGGCGCCTCTGTCCACGTCCATACTGTCATGACTAGCTTTCTTAATATTGCTGCTGCCGCCGAAATTCGCTTAAAAGTCTGAGACATTACGTGTCCCGTACTGGCCTCCACACACTTCCGCCATCTTGATTCAGGGGAGATAACTCTAAATCATTCGTGTCCATTTCACAGATTTCACTTTGGTATGTGGTGGTCATTTGCGCACGTGGTCACTGTGGGTCAATCTCGACCAGAATGATCTCCTTCTGCTCCTCGCTCACATTATTTATGTCTATGATGAATGTTGATTCGTGTGAATAATGTCGGACGATGTCGTCGTCCATTTTCACATAGATTCTGGAAAAAATAAAAAATAACATTCTTAAAACAATTCCACATTTAAGGGGTAGATGTGTGCCAATATTTTGGTTGAACAGGATTGCCAAATATAAGATATTGTTTCGAAAGTAATGGTGAGTTGTGTTTAACGCCGCTTTTAACGGTATTCCAGTCATATCACGGCGTATCAGCTTAATGTGGGAGGAAAGCCCAAAGTGATGCAGGTCTTAGACGTTTACCACTTCGGTGAAACCCACGAGCACGGGTATGGTGCTGACAAACCTAGAAACATAATCGGGGCGAACCGGGATTCGAACCACAATCATAGGTTTCTGGCGTGCCCAAGGGACGCAACTCTGCACAGGGAATTGCGGCGCCTAGGACGACTGGGCCACCCGTACCCCCTTCGAAAGTAATAAGAAAGGTTAATTACACTAGTAGCATTATTTATTTTCTATAGGGTCGTGGCAATGCTAAATTGGGTTAAAGGGAAGTCTTCAGAAAGAATTGTATTTTAGTGTTAGAAGACCAGCAAGCTCTTGAACCAATAGTAGCTGTGGTAATGTCCAAAACTTGCAAGTGATAGAGAAAGAAATAATTACAATTTTAGGAACATGCCATATAGCCTTCACAAACATTTTCAAAACTCAAACATAAAGATTATATAAACAAATTGATATATACCCTTTTGACTTCTTGTAGAAGTTCTTGACTTGTTTTGTGGGTACGTGGTATTTCTCCTCGATCTTGAAAAACAAACAAAAAACAAACATGACAAGATAGTCCAATGAACAGGTTGAATTTAAAAGCAAACGCTATCCGTCAGATGTACTCCATTTCCGGATCCCGTATCATAAATGTTCACATAAGTTCATATAAAGATATATTACATAAGTGCACACAGGTTGCCGAAGTACATGCCAGTACCATGCCATACAAACAGTGCCCAGTCTTTAGCCCTAACTACCACCAAACATGGGTGCATCTCAGGTCTATGTCCCATATACTAAAAAAGGCTACTAACAAATAATAATAATAATAATAATAATAATAATAATGATATAAAACAATGATGAGCCTAACCTGCCTGACTGTGTCACTTAAACCCTCTTTGCTGCATTTTTAAAATTTTAATCTGTAAACAATATTGATAATAATACACCTACCGCTTTCAGTAGGCCGTGCAGAGTGGGTTGTCGTAGTAGCAGTGCCGTGAAGACGTTCTCTTGCTGTTCACGAACGTACAGCAAAACTGGAACAGAATAAACGTGTAAGTACATTGAACTTGTCTTGAAACGTATGGAATACATCAGGATTAATACGTACACAAACGTAATACATTTGGGAGGAGACTTTGAAGGAAGTATCGTCATCTAGAGTAAGCGAGTCAACTACTTTCTCAGACTTCAATTCCATTTAAGAAGACACCAGTCAACAACTTACTCTTTGGCATCTCCATGCAGTGACTACAGGAACTTCGTCTTTGGCGCTTTGCGGGTGGGTAGAACTCATCACTGCGAGACAAGTCATCACCTCCACTCAGACTGGAAGTAGAACAAAATGACATGAATATACATGAATGTCCAAACACAATGCTTGTACTTCATCAAAGAGTTTTCAATGTAACAACATATTTTATTGTTTAAAGTTCAGTCAAAGATAAAAATGTCATTGAATTTATTTAAGTTGGACTATAGCGTGTTCGTTAAAAAATCAACATGGCTTAGTAAATATTATGTATTATTTTAGGCATAGTAATTATTATTATTATCATTATTATTATTATTATTATTATTATTTCGTGTCCTGTGATTTAAATGTATGTATAATATATTTTGTTTGGCTGTCCAAGTCAAACACGTTCTTCAAATTGTTAACAGAGCGGAACTTTTTCCTTCCATCACAACGTAAAACTTCCAATAAATCACTCTCACACACCCCCTCCCATCGTATCCGTCGATTTTATTGGTCGTTGTTTGTGATTGGTGGTCGCCAAGGAGGTGTTCAAACACCAAACAAACCCTGCTATTACATGGCGACCCCTGTTCTATCTACACTCCTTAATTCCATTTAAATGCTTTAAGTCGTCCACCGTAAACGTATGATATCCGTAAAGTGGGCGAAAAAGAAGCGTAATCTGCCAGCCTCAGCCTTGAACGCTTGCGATCCCCCGAACTATTTGTAAGTGGGAAGTGTGAGACAAGCGTGGGCGAGACGAGACTTCTTTTTTCCACATACTACGAAATTGATTTTATCTTAAGAGTGTCAGTAAGTCTTTGTTTCAATAATACTGAACATACGATATGTTATTAAGCCGGGATACCAGACACCGGGGCAACTTAACACTTGGAGAATAATTCGACATTGGACGTCAACGCAGGGAATCCGATAACGCCCCAAACAACAAAGAAATAAAATCAATACCCGGGTCGCAGGAATCATGTCTTCACATCTTAACACAGCAATTTGTAGCTGGTGTCATGAGAGAATTCTGTTGTCGCAGTTACATGTCGATGCTTGAGCCAGTAATTAGTCGTTATCTCTCATTGCTCTTACGGCCAGTGATAACGTAGGCCTCTGAGGTCATAGACACTGACAGGACAAAAACAAGGGAGATAACTTAATCCCTAGGTCAGTGGAATCGTGTAGTTCGCCGAGAACTATCACCTGTCGACAAATCCGATTGATAAATTACATTCCTGAAGGACTAACATGATAGCAGACCATAGACTTCGTGATGGGGATTCATAAACACGAGCTTGCCATATTTCATGGTATAACTACTGACTATGTAGAATATATTCTACATGTGTCCGCGTTAAGTGTTGCCAGGTGCAAGGGATTTGTAAAGGGCCAAGATCGAAGCACGGACAACACCAGAGAAAGATATTCAGATTTTTTTTTTCTTTTAAAAGCTATTTGTTTATAAAGAATATATTCATTTACAATAGTTAGCTTTTTATTAACCTGACTTGTCAATAACACCTTTGAAATATATTCAAATGGTCATTTCTAAGTGAAGGGTAAAAAGATCCAAATCAATAGAATGAAATGATTGGTTCAATCTGTTGATCCCATATTAAATGGGTACAATGTGTGAAGCCCATTTCTGGTGTCCCCCGCCGTGATATTGCTGGAATATTGCTAAAAGCGGCGTAAAACCATACTCACTCACTCACTCTCCATATTAACATTTGACAAGTTTGAATATGCATATCGTTCTATATTTTTAAAAGAAAAGCTGCCTCGTTTCCTTCCGTTTGGAGAAATAATCAAAACTGATCACTTTGAGGGACCTCCTAAAATATGCTCCTGAATATATATAAATTGTCAGTGCAAGAGAATAACCAGCCTAGATTTTAGCCGAAACAAAGTCCATCTGGCGTAAAGGGCAAGATAGCCGTGGGAATTATATGAATGGACCACCAAAAATCAGTGGTGGCACCTGGTGTTGGCTAAAAGGGTCAGCGTGTCATGTAATGTGCTACACAGAAGTTAAGCAACAACTTACCTAGAACAATCTTCGTCGTGTGAAGTTGAAATGATGGAACTCCCCTGTGACAAAAAAAAAGACCACTGTTATAACAGTCAAACAATACACACCATAAATAATCAGTCATCCACGTATAAAAACCACCTGACCCCCATTCACGGACACGGGGTCTGTTATATAGTGAAGTGTCTACCATTTGGTTCCCCATGCTTAACAAAACATTCTCGGCACATGTATCCCTTACCTCCATAGGATGCCACAATGCACATATTGAGATCTCGTGTTACACATAATCATAAGGTATAAAGGTGTCGTTAATCCGCCCATACATGTAACAGTAAATCTAACCAACCCAACACTACACGGTTAGCCCATGAGGGAACTTGAGCCCCAAACAGGCAGGAATTCGTTTATCCGTATTCCCATCTTACTACAATGGAGATAGTTGTTTCTTTGTAACTGTTTTCCCAAACACTTATTCACAGGTATCGCCTTTTCCATTGTACAGAAAGTAAGAAACGCCCTTTGAATGCGGAGGTTTCATTTGGTAATTATTACTTCCGAAACCATCAGTGCAACTGTTCTTAAATGTATGCAGCGAAACACTATATGAAGGTAAAGAGTAAGGCAAATAAAAGACATCTAAAGGTAATTATCAAGGGCTCATTCCAAGCGCTGCTTTATCCCATAACGAGGCTGGCATTGGCGTGCTATGTTTTGGGTCTTGTGGTTTTACAACACATAACTGTAGTTAAAACTAGTGTCGTGTGCAAATGGGAATTCCTTCATGGCGTATGTAGGTCACGTGTACTTTAAGGTCTTCCAGCCTTTGGGTATCACTCCATGACATCCTTTAAGAGCACACTTTGAAATTAATTGTTTGTTGGTTCACATTAATCTATTTAACCCACCTTTTGAAAAAAATCTTCGGTGTCGATGCCATTTGAGGGGTTAAAGATCGACGGAGTACTTTCAAGGTCAACCATGGAGTAGAACTCTGATCGGTCACAGGCCGGATGGTACACTTCCTCTTTGACCTTCCGCGCTGAAAATGTAGTTCTCATGTGAAACTATATGACAACAGCAAAATGGAGAGTTCTGTGTTATTTCTTTTTAATCGAACATTGAAAACATTATATTTATTGTTGAATATGTTTCGACGCTTACCGCCAGGTTCCATTTTTCCACGTGAGTTTTTCCGCCTCTCTTCATCTCTTGTTTTTCTTTCAGCACCCTATAATGAGGAGAGGGGTGTTATAGTGAGGCGTAAGAAACGGCGTAAGAAACAGCATAAAACCAACATAAAACGAGAACACTCTAACAAATATAATTGAATAAATTCTGTAGTTATGAAAGAAACTTTAACCCATGCTCTATAACCTATGTTCAAGGTATGTGAGGAAATGGCTTGAGGACATTTCTTAACCTGGATGATTTCAAATACATAAAAGCGACAAAACCCTTTCAATAATTCAATAATCAGCCAGTCCATGTCTTTGTGCGTTATGCGTGAATTAACAGACGTTTCAACATGTTCATACAATCTAAATATGATTTTGTTATCGCCTCACATGATTTATATACAAACTACTCTAAAACCGTACACATCACTGCATCTATTGATTTGGGAAGGTGCCAATGTAGTATACTTTAGCATGAAAACGCTTTGATCAGTTAAATGCACTTCTTCAAGCGTCTAGACGGATTCTAAATTCAATTTACGGATTAGATTTTTAAAAAATGTAATGTGTTTCAGTCAGAACCATATTTAGATTTAATTACCCACATTTAATTCGTGCAGTGACATTACAGAGTTTCTGGTCTCCAATGCATAACGAACCATTAAGAGACATGAAAAGAAATATAACCTGAATCATAACACGAAGAAGAAAACGAAACAGTTAACAGTGAGTGAGTGAGTGGGTTTAACGCCGCTTTTAACAATATTTCAGTTATATCACGGCGTGTCAGCTTAATGTGGGAGGAAAGCCCGAAGTTACTTCGATGCAGGTCTCAGACGTTTACCACTTCGGTGAAACCCACGAGCACTGGTATGGTGTTGACAAACCTAGAAACATAATCGGGGCGAACCGGGATTCGAACCCACAATCATAGGTTTCTGGCGTGCCCAAGGGACGCAACTCTGCACAGCGAATCGCGGCGCCTTAGACGACTGGGCCACACGTGCCCCCGAAACAGTTAATAACAAGGCTTGGGTCAACGTTGGCAACTGTGACATCTGTGCACGGCGTTGCGTTAAGAGACGCTGGCAACTGCGACATTTATGCATGGAGTTAAGTTAAAAGACGTTGGCCACTGCGACATTTGTCTGCTGAAAAAAGAAACGGAAGCTCACCTTATCACAAAACACCTTAATCTGACAGTAGCCTCTATGGATGGGATGGGCATCTTTGTTGTTCTCGTATGTGTCGATTTGAATGTGAAGAGGGATGCCCTGAAAATTAAGACACATCTTATAGCAATGAATGAAACATATCCGAAGGAAGGGAAGACTGATGATGAAAAAAAGCTAAGAATATGGATATGAAGGAATATGGGAAAGTTGAGAAAACAAATTTGATATTTTTTTCTCACATTCTCAGAATAGCCCAGGAAATTATGCCACATATGTCCTCATTCCTTCTAACTTGTCTCTTGAGATATTTAATATGTCTTCACAGTATGGTACACGCAACACAATGGCTCAGCCTTCATAACCCATGTCACTGCTAATGTGTATCTAATTACGACAATGGTATAATTTTCTGAATATTGTTGTCAGGTCTAATTCCCATGCTAACCCATGTGGAAGGATGTGTGCTCATAAGATGCAATGGACACAACTGCAGCGTCCCTCCGAACAACCATGTCTCTTAGGAGTAACCCTAGACATGTACAAAGACTAGAAAACTCCCAACAAACAGTGATGCCATTATTCCCTATCAGCACGTCGCTAGAAAAATGTAAACGAGGTTAAATTACCTATAATTACTTGGTCTTTTCAATTTCCGCCATGCATAGCTATCAAGGCAATTTTCATTTGAACGATTCATTTCTTCCCAAGTTAAGTATCTCAGCAGTGAATCTTCACTCAAACATCCTTTAGAAATACTTGACAATGGGTTGTTCCCGTGAAGGAAAATCAACATGGCTGACAGGCTGGATATTGAGTTGAAGTACCCAGAAGTTGGATAATTATAGGAGGCCCTTTTAAGTACATCAACAGGTCAGGTCAGCGGTCAACTGACCTAAATATGTCACTGATCTGTTATTTTAAAGTTCATTCATGAAACTGGACCTAATAACCATATTTTCATGGCATGATAGAAGGTATTTTGGGTTTACGGGTCACCTGGTTTTAATATGGAATTTTTATTCAAATCATGTTCTGGACCCTATAAGACTAGACGAGTAGGTGTATTTTATATGAGATGATGGTTCGGGTTTAAACATGTACTTTCCCTGATCTGCCATTCAGTGTTGAAAGAGAATGTGTGTATATGTATATTTGATTGTGCTGCTCGTTCTGACATATACCTCGGGGTATTTGGCTTGTAAATTGCTTATGGGTTTCATGCATCAGAAGAAACGATCGGGGCGGAGGCTAGACGAAAACAGGATCAATGGAGTAGACGATACCAGTATTTTAAAGCGCAAATGCAATCAGATATTTTTAGCATATTCTAAGCATTTATACATCTCTATGAAAGGATTGTGCCCGAGGGGAGAACATAGTTTAGTTGTGTAAAGGTTTCTGAGACGTTACTCTGTCCACAAATGTGTTTTAGTACTTAACAGCAATGTTCTGGTTACACAAACACGATTCTGTAAAGAATCTTTTGTGGAAGAAATGAAAAAGATTTACTCCTGGGTCTCCAAACCCACACACTCTCTGCGTTCAGCTGCAGTAATTTGCTCATTTAAAATCTGATAAAACATATTTAGTTAGGGTACATAGCTACGATCACGACTTTAATGTCATTGCAAAGTCAATGGGTCACAAAGGCAATCCCTATGTAATGACACACAATTTCAATGACAAGTGAATTTGATAATGTTGCCTACCTTAACACCTTTTTGATTACTGAAATCTGTACTGAGGCAATGGACTGCTATAGCAACCTGTGAATGAATACAAATAAAAAAAATTAAAAACATGTTAAATGCCGGCAACCATATTTATGCTATTCATGAATTTACATTCATTCGGCTACAGCATAGGGAACCATGTACATACTGTAATCATGATCAAACAAATATACATGAAATAATTCAAAATGATTTTTTTTCAATTGATATACTTTCTTCAAAAGCATAAGTAAGTTTTAAATCGTTAACGCTTTCAACATAAAAACAAGCAATAAAGATTTTTAATGTTTTCATCAATAACAGTGAAAGAGGAAGCATCTCACCTTGACTGCAGTCTCTCTTGGATTCCATCGAACACAGACAGCATTACAGGAAATCTCTTCAATGGAGTTGGCAGAAATGCCATGACTGTTCTTTGTATCTGAAAAAAATGTAAAATATATAAATACATTGTAACATCACGAATTTGAATAAAATAACATCTAGTCCTGATCAAGGTTTTCACTAAAAAAAGAAAGAACTCAGCATGTCAACTGATATCAGTATTTATCATTTTGTGCTGTTATTTACGTAAAAATTATATATATTACTCAAATGAATTGAAAGAAACGGGTGTTCGTTAACTCCTTTTGAGGAGAATGTAATGCAGTAGACTGAAGGCCTACTCACCAATATCTAGTATTCTCTGTTTGTAACTATGTTGACGTCCATGCCAGAATTCCCAGGCTCGCTTCTCCTCCTCCATGCCCTTCTCCTCTCGGAAAACCAGCATGATGACAGACTGTAGGGAGATGGGTAGAATATTTATTTCGTGAATTATTGAAAAGCATGTAAATGAGAGTGACCAAACCCTTTCTTTAATTATAAGCATTCTCCGCTAAAAGCAGAGTCCAGTGTACGCTTCCGACTTTATTATAAGCATGTGTTTATGACTCACTATCATACAGTGATGTAAAGAAGACAACGTTTTTTTCTTCAAAAAATACGCTTACAATTTTGGTTGTTCATGGCATTCAGTGTAATACATGGAAGATTGATAAAATGAAACTGTGACTTGTGAACTATTACTATAAATTTCATATAAATTTCAATTTTCCTCGTATAATCGAGACTGGTGATTCTCAGGCGTTGAATTTTATATTTCAAACAGGAACACGGGGTTCGAATGTAACATATCCCTATGAAAACTTCATAAAATGTTAAAGAAAATGCTTTTATTACTTTAAGTTCGTATCGTTTATTTGACTTATTGTTGTCAGATTAGTATTACAATTCATTCTAAAAGAAGAAAGAAACATGGACGTTTGGATCATATCAATATTTGTCGATAATTACGTGTTGACGCAGTATTTTAAAACATAATACACATAAAGGTAATTGAAGGTAATTATTTAAGCAGGTACGACACGTTTGTCACAACTGTAAGCGTGATATGAAAAGGTCGATGAACTTTCAGTGAATATTTGTGTGAGTGGAATCATATTTCACATGCATTCACTAAACAAATACTGAACTAAACGACTCGTAGTGTGTACAGATCGGCTTAACATGAATGGGAAGACTCTATGTAAGCACAACAAGTATAGATGTACTCAGGCCACAGTAATGGATGGACGGACACATCTATTTCCAGACCACAACACACTCTCACTCAACTTTCTCTCAATCAAATGAATGAATGGATGAATAGACAGTACAGCTCTGTCTGCTTCAGATAGTGCGTTAGTCTTTCAAACTTCTAAGCTGGAGCTTGGTACATGAATGTACTCCCAAGACGCCAAGAGGGTGTGTCTATTCTGGTGGGCGGGAACGGCCACAAAAGGGAAAGGACACTGTCGTTTGCTCTCTGTTGGGAGTTCATGCCGAGGTATGATCAATCACGTGACCGCCTTTGCCCATCTGACACCAAACAAGGCCAAGACAGACGAGCTCCAAACACTGACAAACAGCTAGAATGAGACATACAGTGTTTGGTTCTGTGATCGCACGAGATCACACGCTCTCCCCAGGCGTAGGTAGGTCCCTAAAGGTCTCCCGAGTACACATGAGGCTGAACGCTAATTATTCAGACATCTAGTTCATGTGCTTCTTCGGCACAATCAGTACATTTCCCCATTAGGAAAGTATCTCAGACAATGATGGATTCCCGATTATTATCTAATCCTTAATGTAAACGTGTTGCCATACAAAAAGACGTATAGGTGTCTAAGAAGGTCACTATCAACCACATGTGTCATAGCGCTCTCAAGATGTGTTCCCTTGCTCACACTGAATGTCCGTAACACTGTATGGCCATAAGAGTTTGTCCATGAAGGGAGTTTTTTGGCTATCGTAATCTATAAAGGCACTTCACATGGTACGGGTATGTCAACAAATCCCTTGTCTACGATAATATCTTGCCCTGTCAGCCTTCTGGCAAGTATAAAGTGTTATTAACTCCAAGTTTTGAAATGCAAACATTCGAAGGGTGGGTAGGGTGACGACTGGGTTGTGGGAATATGGGACTCCTGGTTGCAAAGTTTGATATAGAAGGCATATAAAAGCGTGAGACTCATTGTCCTTTATAATGACTCATTAATCATGATGGTTTTACATCATGATCGTCAAACATTGTGAACAAAGCTTGGGTTGCTTCGTCCATGGTGTCCCAGGTATCTGAGACATTTTTATATGACAAAATACCTCCATGATATTATCATTGCATTGCAGTCATTCCCATACAAGATTCGTCAGTTTAACTCATCTTTAACACTATTTCTAAAACTTCCATTTTTCGTACCTTAACTGTAGAACTCTTTGGTAGCGTAAAGGTGGGGTTGAACTCAAACGTCAGGCCATAATATTGACCTGAAAGAGAAGCAAAAAAACCTTTATATTATATCATCAAAATATCAACAGAAAAGACTGGTCACGTCAGTTTGGAAAAAATAGAGTGAGTAAATCATTTCGGTTTACACCCTTATCAGCGTTATTCCAGCCATATACATTACTCCAAGGATGTCGCAAGGATGTGGCCTTTTTGTTGGACGGTAACGACCATAAGGAAAATCGAACCCATGTCTTCGGCTTGACGCGCGAATTAATCAACCACAAGACTGCCCCATCACTCCTTAATTTACCTTTGTTTAAGTACGTTACTCGATCCTCCTCAATACGTTGTGTGGTGGAGGTCGGGGTCTCCATGAAGTATTTGTATCCAACAACTTCTTTTTCTCTGTAATTAATAAAAGGCTATGATATAATGCCATGACATGTCACGCAAAAAGAATTCTTTTGGTAAATATAATGATTCAATTTTTTATTAACTGTTTTATGATTTATCACAAAAATTGAAATACAGAATTGTATACATTCAGCTCTTTGCACATGTGACCAGACATACAAGATTATTCTTACAGACATTAGTTAGGAATGCTATTTTGTCCTAAATGGTTTAACAAGGAAATGATAATATGAACGAAATAATGTGGCTGTTGTACTGCTATCGTTACAAAAAGAATACATTTACAAACAATACGATTTACAAACGATTACAATTTGAAAGGAGGCGTTTTATTATCATCCATTAAGATGACAAATTATGCAATTCTATTTTCAAGCACATGCATTATACAATTTTATTTGCAAACATGACCAGACAAAGTTAACAGTACCAGCATGGACCGTCTCTGGGGCCTCGTTTCTAAACCTTACAACATACATTAATATTGTCAATTCACGAAGCATACATGGTAGCTTTTCAGATAGGATTCTACAGGTTGATAAGGTTTTATAATTTTGAATAGCAGTCTTAAGATTTATTGTGTTTGGTAGAGCTCATCTCGGCGGGAAGGGGTATTAATGCACGTCAACATACTTTACGAAACCACAGGGATCCAATATTCAATTTCATCTGGTTTCAAAGTCAGTAACTGAATTATCTGTACGTAAGCGCCATCAAGATCACTGTGACCTAGTTTCCTTGTTCTGTGTGAAATCCACTCGGGGAGAACATTGACCAGGGTTTAATAATTAATTGAGCAATTCAAATTGAAAATTGAATATTATGTATCCAATGAATATACATGTACTCATTTAAAACTAACAAATGTAGTACCGATTTTCTAGATTCGATCAGTTAGGTGTTGCACTATACTGTATGTTCATCCACAAGAAAATGTATCATTCTGAAAATTCAGATTACATATTTTGCCAATTTGTGTGAGATAATATACTCTGCTGTATGTGGATGAAAAGGATTAATAATTCAATAACCAGCTACCCCAAAAACAATCCATCAAATGTCAGGAAACCGTTAGTAATCAGCTGTGTGTTGCAATCAATGTCTGTCACTGTTAAATTTACTACAATAAATAGTGTTCCTCTTCAACTGACATTGACATGATAGTCGCCGATTGCGTTTTGTTTAGTTTCTGTCCCGGGATATTTGTGACCCCTGAACAATGGCTGGGTGTTTTATGACATATACACGCCCGGGGAAAACTACGTTTTGATTAAATGATAATGTAAAGGTTCACTGCCCGTTCCTCAGAACCCCCATCAAAAGGCATTGCTGTTTATATGCAAATCTCATATTAACAAAGAGTATTCGTGTATTAACATTTGAAATACATTGTTCCAATTCTTGTTAAAACTGATAAACAATTTGAAATAATTATCAGACTTTTGTAAAAATAGAATCGGTCGGAGTACAGAACCTTGCAGTATACAATACCTTATAATGTACCCGGCTATATAGTTGCATATTTATGTGGACATATCCATTAACAGATTAACAGAACTAGATTTCAGAATATATAAATCATTATTTCTAAACAACTCTACAAAGATTTACAAATGTAATATTGTGCCCATGGTTCTATGTGACGATGTAAGATGTCATCTCAATATGACTGAGAGGAGGGGAGATTAAATATGAGATGGAGTTTCCACCTGGAACACTCACTAATCCGTAGGTAGTACAACAATTACCCAAGGATATATATCCCCCTTCATCTTAATCCACAATGAAAATGTTTCCCGATGTCAAACAATCTTGACCTGACTGATCATGAATAGCTGGTATCACTCAATAAGGTGTCAAAACAGACATTTCAATGCCTGAATGATTGCGATCTATACCCCAGGGCGACTGTCAGAAGTAAAATCTCAATAGGACTGCATGTTACTCACACTTTAGGAATGTAGGTTGAACTGCAGGCTTTGTCAGGGTTCGAATATTGCCTTACGAACATGGGTACTGATTTCCTTTTCTTAGCCGCCGTCTTTTCTTTAGCGGCGACCGCATCAAAATTCCCATTCGCATCTTTCACGCACTGAAAATAGAAGGGCAATTCAATAAAGCTGTCTGTAAATATAGCCGAGCAAATATTGATCAGTTAAAATAGAAAGACACTAGCTATTGACACGGTCATGGACATACTGTAGAGAGTAAACAAGAGCATCTTCATCAGAAATACCTGGATAGATGGGCTTAGGTAAATAAATGTTAAAGCAAACACTGCGTTCATGGGGAACGATGGACCAATTATATGGCTCTGGTTTGAAGATGAACCTACCAATGTACCCTAAACAATCTTATTGCGTTTGTACGGTGGTCTGAAAACCAACTTCAGTGGTGACCACAGATCGACACATGAGGTGCCTCGATATGTTTATAACAGTCCTATGTTAAGCTCATAAGCAAACTTGTTGAACAGACCAATGGTTTCAGACACAACTTTGATCGTTGGTCATGTGAAGGGCTGTTTTCATCATTAGACATGAAAGGCCAAAACAAAGACATTGCCATGTGGCAAATGGCATCTTGAAAAAGGAAACATGATTTCAAACATAATCAACAATTAGTTGATATCATGAACAATTAGATGACATTGTGCACGCTTGTACCTGTCATCTTAATGCACCGGCATGCCGCGGATACAGAAAAGCATACTCACTGTACCAAATTGGTATGGAAAAATGGCAATAAGTCTTTTTAAACATAAACATTGCATACCACTATCTTACCTCCATTGCCCGAATATACTTGGTGTTTCTATCAAAGCCAGTCGACACATATGTCAAGGGACGCCATGTGAAATACTACATGAACAACGGTCGACATACTGCATTGAGCTTCCTTGGTGGGGATATAAAGGCCTTGACAGCTCGTATTTTTGAGTTTGAATGAGAACATGTTCGTTTCAAGGCCAAGCAGCATATTAAACGCTTTCTCGTATCTATTTCAGACACACCTTGCATTAATACACGAAAGTGGCTGACTAAAATTGCATAGATTTACCCGGCCCAGATAGAATAACACTAGCGGTTTAGTTATGAGTTTCGCTTGAGTGAATACTCGTTCAAGCTTTACGGTATAGGCTACACACCAGCGGTGTTACAACTGCAAATAGGAATTTCATTTGACGTACTCGCATAGGCATACATAATGACAAGATTCGGTTGGGCACCTTGACATATCGAAGCAGTTTTCACATTTTCGTTTGTGAAGTATAACTTCACTGAAGCATGTTTCCCTAACAACGAAACTAAGAACGCAAGTTGGGACATGAGCAGAGCCGCGAGTGTGTTGTTTAAAAGCAGAATGACGGGGCTTCTATAAGATTGCATAAGGAAAACGTTCATGTGTGCATAAGGTGGATGCATGTACAAATAGCTTTTCAATTATTTTACTTTAACTTACAAGTGCCGACTCGTACCGTGTTTAAATTTTCAAACCATCGTGTTTAACGAATAAACTGTAAGACATATATTTAATAATAGCACAGTCCTTCATGGTGTTAAACAGCCAACCCCTACGCTACACTACACAGTATAATATTCACTGAAAATTTGGATTGCTTTCAAGAAAATACGATCACCTGAAAGAAACGAATACTTTTTACACACAGACAGGGGCATTAAGGCCATTGTATTCTGTACACCTGATATCTCGAATATGGGCATTCACCGGAATATGGGCAAGATAGTGTTACATGAAATATTTGCTTCTTGGAGCCTTGGCGTTTTAGGCTTGTGGTATCACTATCTGGGAAAAAAATAGGTTGTTAAAATACTTACAAGAGTTCCATTTGAGGGTGACAGACAAGGTTCTTGGTAGCCGCTGTCAGGTGACTTCATGCCATAGTTTTCGCTGCCATTGGTCATGTATTGCTGGTACTGGTTGTTGTAGGCAAATTGTTGCTGAACATACCGTTCCAACATTGGAGAGTTCTGTTTCTCAGTCTCCAGCGTCAGACCATTGGACGGTGACGTTGGGTACGCATAGTTTGATGTTGGGTAATTATACACATTGTTTATGGAAGGAAGAGGCTCGACAGTTTGCATGGGCTGAAGCACTTGGAAATACTGTCCCGAAGACTGGACAATGTTTGTATTGATAGGCCCTGTCTGAGACAAAGATGAAGGTCCACATGTCGTCATAGCGTTCATTGGAATCACCGGAACTGTTGAAGCTTCATAAGGAGGAGGAAGTTCATGAAGTTGGTCCAAGAAGCCTTCTTGCTTGATGTTGGCAAACGTTGTTACTTTGTTCATGGTCGTCGCTGTTGGAGATGATGTTCTTGGGCTGTCGTCGATGTAGGTCTGGACAGTTGATGTTGGCTCGGCTAGTGTGCGACTTGCTGCTGATGAGGCACTAGGTGGATTGAGTTGTTTGCGCTTTAGTTTCTCATTGAGTGCACGGCAAACCTTTTTTGATACATCATTAGTTTTCCTCTCTGACTGGTGTTGGGTAGGGTGCAAGGGGGGAGATTCATCATGATGTCCTGATGGCGGACAGTTGGGAAGAGCAGGCTCTTTGTCAAGTAAAGACCGGTGCTCATTGCCCAACGTAAGATCCTTAGCCTCAAACGAATTACTGTCAAACGTTGCCTCTAGCTTTACCGCACAGTCATTAATCATTACTGAATCGTCGCCATTTTGCAGTGGCGACGTCTGGTCACCACATGGTGACGTAGTAGAGTCCACTATCTCCTCTTGGTCAGCCTCGACGTCCAGACGAAGTGCCGTCTGCTCTTTGCACGTGCTTGGCTTTGCTGCCTGCAAACAGACAACAAACATGGCTGATGTGAGGATACAATGACACGAATTCGGCTGCCGTTCCGCATCTAGCGTGAAGAGGCTTACCCTTTTGGTGGACATTTGATCGTCGGGTGTTTCCACGCTATCTGACACCCCACAAGCGACATAAACGGAAACGTGGATGGAGAGGCTGTCTTTAGGTATCAAAAGACGTAAACAGATCGGATTGTTCATCCGAATAAAACAAAACGATCCATTTACCGTCTGTCTTGACACGGCGGTTCTCTTAGGCACAGAGGCTCTGATGAGATAGCCCTCGGGTGAAGGGAAGATCACATTTCTTCCACCTCATTAAGTTTGAAATGTCTGTGTATGTTTCCTCTGTCACAATGCTAACCCTTGTTTAGCTCACACGAGTTTATTATGGTCATGAACATGTACGCGTTTTTACAAGTGCGTTCTGTGTCCAGTAGGGTACGCGATCGAGTGATTTTGAAGAAAGGACAATACATACAGTAAGAAAACATATGATTAATGCAGTTTATGCCCAAATGAAAGAGTCCTACGGCAGTTGAACGTTTAAAGAGAAGCCTCATGTTAAACTTCGGTTCATAAATGCATTATTCTTTCAGTTCATCATGGTCATCATTATCATCTACACAGCCACTAATAATTCATGTTCTTTTTGTATTTTTTATGGTAATCATCCCTTAAAGTATCCCAGATGAAATATTACAAAGGCCGACATATATAATGAAGCTGAGGTTTACTGGGGTTTAACGTCGCGTTCAAGATGTCTTTAGACAAATACGTAATCAAACTGTCTTGAGACCAACGTCAAAGATTTATATCTTTCACAAGAACAATAAAACTATATAAAATTTAAATAATTATCTATTCATGTGACAGAAGAGCTATGCATGAAAGCCAGAGACGATGGTCCAAATAGGTTTAGGTAACCAACAACACAATCTACATATATTATACTCATAATGACTTAACTCAAGCGTTGCCAAGCGACGAAGGCCGCAGTGTCCCTTCGGGCGAGGCTTACACCTCAAAGGACCGGCGTATTTAATGACGATGTAAATTGTATGTTATAGCACATGAAACAGATTGAAATAGTACCACGGGTACAGTGTTTCCTCAGGATAGGAAACAAGTCAGATGCACAACCTCGGTTGCGTGTGGCTGCTTTCATTTGCACAATATGAAAGCTTACGAACACCATCAATGCTGCACTGTCAGATTGGGTTACGGTTTATAGCAACTGGACGCATCACACTTGCAAATATCTGCCACCCTTCGCGACATACGTTTAAGTCTGTCGTTCATCGCAATTACCTGAGATGACCTCAGTAACAATTTTTTGAGGTGCCGGTAACTCGATCTTTTTTTAGACAAATGGCGCTGAACATGTTATTTTAGATTTTAAAGAGTTGGCATGTAGCATGCTGTGCGTCTAGCAGTTGTGGATTTCGAAACAAATTGATGTAAATTTCAAAATGTAGGATCAGCGATTTCCGTGTAATAACACTGGCTGTGGAGCCGTGACTATACACTTGCATGTACAGTAAACTGCGGTTATGACGAACACGCTTATAACGAACTAACGGACATAACGAACTTACTTTTTAGTCCCGACTATATGCTGCAGTTATGCTGTATATATGCTTATAACGAATTACGTTTATAACGAACTAAAATTTGTAGTCCCTTTCAGTTCGTTATAGCCGTAGTTTACAGTATTTAAATCATTGAAATTAAACCATCGCATAAACCTACCTGGCGATCGATGGTCGCTAAGATTGGCCAGGTTTGGAGGAATCACATAGAATGAACTGTCCTTCAGCTTCCTGTTATATTTCAACCGTCTGAGGAAAACTATCGTTATCTAACCACTAGCAACCAAGTAATTTAAACTAAATAGGAAGTACACTCAACGCACGAAATTTACACAAACTCTCAGTTTTCCTCGCACCTGATCAAACCTACGTTTACCTTGCGCTCATAATCGTCGTTATCCGACACCTTGTCCATCCTGACCAAACCGCACACCTCGCTCAAATAAAGATTGTCTTAAATCTAACCCTCCCCGTCACCTCTAACGCCAGTATTTGTTCAGTCTGCGCTATCTGGAAATTATGTAATTATTTGCCAAGTAAACTTACCTCAACTTTAATGAGTATCCCGTCTTTTGTCTTCTGAAAATCGGCCTCACTCCCAGCCTCACAACTGTCAAGGTATTTGTCGAATTCGTTGGGGAGTATGATCTCCGAACTGGCGTTTAGACCCTCCTCGTCGCGCTTGTTGTCGGGTCTGAAGTAAACAATGGCAAGGAATGTGTTGGTGATAATGTACAATAATCATTGCAGTTTTATAGGATGTTGTACAGACGGCAAGCTCATGAAACGCCTTGTGTGGCCTTGACACTGGCAAGTACGCCATTTTGTGGACGTCGACGGGCGTTACTATGGTGGTATATAGGGACTGGAACACTCATCATTGTTGGATACAGAATGTGGAATTAAGGTATTTCCTGTTCCAGGACCACAAAATCTGTGTTTCATGATCAGCATCCCAGTTACGGCAACAGTCACGTTTCCTTCGTTCACTACTTAATATTCTGACTCACGTACACGGTTCTATAGCAACGTGTGTTTTACTGTCAGCATGTGTAAAACTAGGAAATTGACTGTGAAATAAATAATTGACCTCCACATGACAACGTGTATCAGATCATAGAAAAGACCCTGAGCTGACATTCTTCATAAACTTGATCTACCAAAGTGACTCATATCCATGTCCGCAAAGTAGCTGATCCCTTACGTCAGATAAATCAGATGTTCAAAAGTTCATTATATTTCAATTCATGGCGTTGTGTGTTGAGGATCATCAATTATTAATATTGATGACGTCATAAATGGATGACGTCACACTCACCTCATATCGAACAGTTGTTCTCCCTCCCCTTTCACTGGCACTATCGGGCCAAGGTTCATGTATTCATGGTACAGGGCGGCACCGTTGGCGTGGGAGTCTTCCCCGTTGATGGCCGTTGATGCCGCCGTGAGGGGGTGACCAAAGAACGCCGCAGGGTCATCAGGGGGGACGTCTTTGGCGGCGGATTTTAAATCAGTGATTGGTCTTTCGTCTTTGAAATTTTCCCTGGAAACAGAAATTACATGTTTAATGCATAATAACAAACTATGGTGTCTATCCATACTATGGTATACATATCTTGTAACAGCTCACCACCTGTATCTACGTAAGGTAAGAGATACACATGTCATGAAATTCAGACCCGTTGTCAGTTTCAGGTGTGAAGTATACACTCTTCAGTTTTCTGACAATTGTGGTTTGTCTTTGTCGCGAACTATGTAACGAGCAAGTAGTTGAAACAGACAACGCATGTAGCTTCAAGTCGAGGTTAACGAAACCAACGTTAACGTCAACACTGAAATAAACAAGCACTCATTTCACATCTGAAACACACAACAGCAATGTGTAACTGACATAATACTCATGGTAACATTTCACATTAAAATCCCCAAAGGACAGCTTCGTAACTGATCAACGTGGTCGTGCAACTTACATGATATCGATGACGTGACCTTGTTGACAACGCTAACGTCTACAGCTAAGATCATTAACCATAATGTAGATTTCCACCCGTCCACTTCACACGTGGCCACCAGGGAAGAACACTGATTGCATCAACAATACGGTTCAGATAAGTCCTTTCCTTGGGCACTCGCACAAAGTTAAAGGGATGTCGTAACACCCCTATGCTCTCGCTCAGAAGCCTTGCAAACTCTCGTCAACGCTATAATTACCTCACTCGGAGTGCACGCACCGTGAACACATAGCCGGCAATATACCCGAAGGGGGATGGTGGAAGATGGAGATGGAGGTGTATGGAGAAGAGGGGTGAAAGGATCGGGGGTGAAACTGTAGAGGGGGATGTGAAATGGGAACACGGTGTTTGCTTGACGTATTTGTAAACAGCATATCCATCGGGATGATAATAGGGAAAGATGAACGGATACACGAAGAAGATAAAATGAGTTCTCATGCCGCTAATATAATTTCTCTTTTGTTGGAATATATCACACCTCACTGCAAGTATACTCCCATCTCAGTCGGGAGGTTGTACTAATTAGATAAATAGCCCCTGGAAACGACAAAATGTATGTCTCATACTGCATATGTCTTTAGGTGTACTTGACGGCGTTACTGAGATGCACCATCAAAGAAGGTTGCTTTATGTCTTATGGTGTTGCTGTGTATGTTCAATTACCCTATTAATCCGTAAAATATTTTAATGATTTTTAAATATTTGAAACGTTCTTTGAAAATGCCTCTTCTGCTGCATGTTAGGTGTAAGTTAATGTATTCGTGCGGACGCTTGAACGAATTAAAGCTGTAACATATTTTTACAGTCGATATACAACAACATCTATGCCTGGTTGGGGGTACTGTACATTATATACATAATTTTGGAGGGTGGTTTCGCAGACAGGTGCTAATTGGTGGGGAGGGTGGGGTTTAAGGGTGAGGTGAGGTTACAGTGAGTTTAACGTCGCGTCCAAGATTATTGCACTTATATAGCGACGTGCATGTCCGTGTGTGTGTGTGTGTGTGTGTGTGTGTGTGTGTGTGTGTGTGAGTGAGTGTGTGTGTGTGTGTGTGTGTGTGTGTGCGTGCGTGTGGCTGCTTGTACTAGTCAGTACGGACGCCGATTTATAGAACTAGCCAACTGAGATACCATGCCGCAGTTTAACATGAATACCCTACTCAGACACAGTATACTGACTCCGAGCCGTCCCTTAGCCCCTTAATGCCGAGCGCCAGGCTGGGTAACAACAAGTACCACATTTTAACGTCTTTTGGTATGATGTGGCCGGGGATCGAACGCCGGACCTTCCGCTCTACCCCTAGACCCCTGGCGGAGGCGGCCAGGGGATAAAGTGTAAGGGTGGGATTAGAAGTAGGGTAGTGGCGGAAGAATAGACAAATTCACATTGAGGAAGAACTTAAGCTACACTGTAGTACGATGAAAGAGCAATGGATGATTTGTTTGTGAAAAACGTGATATTAAGCTTTCCAACAAAACGCATCATGCAAATAGTCCATTCACTGGAAATTGTTCTTGCGTGAACGCATTTAAGATCAATGATGAAGTTTGGTCAGATAGCCAGACTGCCAAAGAAGAAGGCTTAAACTTGATGGGTATGTTTGGAAGTGCCCCAACACTTTATCTGGGAGTCTAATCCCCTTTCAAAGCGACCCAGTGGATCGCGTCCAGCAAGTATTGGCGATTAGAGGGAAGGGGTCGCTCCTATGGTCACTGATCCAGAGGGAACACAAGCACACTGGTAACAACGAGGGTAACAGGAACAGTCCATTTCTAGCAAAGGGGTGACAACACATGTGCCAAAACTAATACACTGATACTGTTACTCTCGCTGTAAGGTGTGTGTGTGTGTGTGTGTGTGTGTGTGTGTGTGTGTGTGTGTGTGTGTGTGTGTGTGTGTGTGTGTGTGTGTGTGTGCTGGAAGGGGAGGGGGGTGCCTAAGTTGGTGGTCGTGGGTAGAAAGGGTGGTTGAGTGGTTTGGGGGTTCTAGAAGCGGTTTTAATGCGAATTTTATTTAGAATCGCTTTCGAAAGAAATACTTATACTTGCACATAATCATTGACGTGAGATACGCTTCTATTGATATTTTATGATGTGACAGTTTTTTTAGATTCGTCGCGTTCTCAGTGTCTCCCCGAAAACCTAAACGTGTGCTCAAAATGCCAAAGTTTGTATTCCAGGCATCCTACGGCGTTCTGTAGTTTTGTATGTAAGCAAGTACATGCACATATGAACGAAAAATCTATGAACCGACTTTGGGCTAAAACCATGATAAATACAATAAAACCTCGTAAATCTAGAAACTCCCTCCAGACGACCACTGTTAATTATCATGTTGCAAAACCACATCACTCAAGCCAGTGATCCGTTAATCCAGACATCTCTTTATCCCAATGATTTCACCTCAACGGTCATGTCCGGATAAACGTGGTTTCGCTGTACAATTTGCATGTTTTGTGTAAACTATTATAAAATTATGTCCGCTACAAGACATGCTTCAACGAATGATAAAAGTATATACTTTCTGAAAAAAAAGTAGGCATTAGGTTCACTTGCGCTGAAGCGTGAGTGTTTTAAGAAAAACATCGCTTTGCTGCTTCTGTTTGCTGACTGGGCAAAAGAACCGGCCCTGTCAATATTTTGCCCCATTCTCAACAATACTCGTAGTGAACATGTATGCGGCTATGATTCAATCTCCCTCGCTCTGTTTGCCAACACACAGTGGAAAGACGGTGGATTTTTAAACTAATTAGGGGTGGGGCTAGAAACTCGGAATAGCGTCTCCATTTTATACTTTTTTCACAGGTGGGTGATTATATAGACACATTTGATAGTTAAAATATAAAATAAAGAAATAAATACCACTGTGTCAGTATTTAGATATAAGTGCTTGTGCTTACACGTTAACTCAACAAGATAAATCCACAAACACTACTATGCTCCCAAAAAGAATACTTCGAAATATTAAGATATAAATATCTGTTCTCATTTCGGTACTTTGCAGATTCAACTTCGTGTTTAGTGTATCTTTAACAGGCTGAATCAAGTAACTTAGGATCTCCAACAAAGATAACATGACAAGAGTTATCCAAACAAATGAAATATATACTACTCAAATGAAGTAAGAGATAATCCGATTCTTTCATATTAGTATAGATAATCTGTCACGGAGAACATCCAATTTCTGTCAAATTACTTTAGTTAATCTGAGGCATGACAGATTAACTATGGTAATATGAAGAGTCAGGTGTTCCTTAACATCTTTTGAGTAATATAGTTGCCAATTGTAGGAAACGAAATTGAATAGAAAGTCATAGAAATGAAGCTGCATGCGTTTTCTCTGAGTATGTTGTCAGATATAAACACTTTCAGACACATTTCAGTTGTGCAATTAAACAAAGAGAGTGTTAAGGAATTATGACAAGGCATGGGACATTAGTATTCAATCGACATCAATAACATGTCGTCCATGGACTATACATTTTCACGTACACAACACGGACCAATCCATTAAACATTAAACACAAAGTTTGATTTCCTCTCGCAATATTCATGCATTGAAATAATTATGCAAGTTATATGTTAAAGCATGGTTTAAAAGACGGAAGAACAACAGTGTTATGACTGTTTCACATAATCAAAACATATTCATTTGCAACAAAGTATGCACAAAGTTTTAAAAAATACATTTTAAGAAAACCCTTTTTAATGAAATTGAATTTATTAATTACAAAAAGAAAACTGAGTTACCAAAACAGGAGATCTTCCAGCATCATTGTGTACAATCAACGCTTTCAAAGTATTCCAAACACGATGTGGCTCCGAGAACTATTCTGTCAGAATTCCACCCGGGGTATAACAGACGTCACATCGCCGATAAACAATATAGCCGGGGGCACCGAGATTCCGACTTCACCGTGGGCCGTTTGCGGTTACCGGGGGCGAGGAAAGTAAGAATGTCGGGGTGCACACCGGCTACACACCCACGCTACCTATTGATATTCATATTATCGTCTACCGCTCACACCCGCCTTGCTCCTAATCCTTTCTTTTGTCGCCAACGGGTCAAGGGAGATAACTCTACTCGCTGGGCGGGGCTGATCGCTGCGAGATAGGCCTGTTTTCAGCCAGTACGTCGTGGGTCGATCCGCGACCCAGTGGCTAGAGGTTGCCCTAGTTCGCCGCGAACTGTTTTGTTTACTTAGTGGACAATAAGTGGCGCGTTATGCATTTCATAAAAGGCGTGTCATTCCTAAACTGACCGGCGGAGAGAAGAGTAAAGAATTAACTGGGATAGAATTCATTTGCGGTACGTGCGCTGTGAATAGTCCATGGGACGCAAAGCGAAATGGGCCAATCCGAGAGCGGCGGATAAAGTCAAGAAAACTTAAACAAACTGATCATCGGTTTAATTGGCTACCAGAGCATTCTATGACACTGATGGCGACTTGAAGTTTTGTCGTGAAGGAATTTACAGGTGGTTAGTTTTTGTTGGAAATATTTTGTCGTTCGTTGTTGGCTTGGGGTTGGC